TTCTTGCTCTGTCTCTAGATTATTCGCTCATGATCGGTACACTATAGTCAGCTCGACATGCACGAACTCTCAAGCTTTGGCTCTCAACGAAGCTCACCCATTGGGACAAGACTTCCATTTACAGAGCAAATTAGGTTTGCCATGCTCAAAGAACAATGCAGGCTGCTGTGAAATTATTTCTCGTGGACCAGCATGGGAGACTTAAAGCAGATTTTGCGAATGGTTTCTCCAGACGAGTGCCAAGGTGTAAAACTCGCCGCTCTTTTGATTCAGACTCTCAACTATCTCTTTCCAAACAGCTTTACAGGATATCTGCGAATACAACGACATTACAGAGGAACAATTGGTATCTGCTCCAGAGACTATCAAAAGTGTCGAAATGTTTATGCACACCCTCCCTCGAATTTGCTGCATGTCTTTCTTTCCAAACCTTGTCTCACTTTCCCTGGTTCAGCAAAATCTTGGGGGAATTCATGGGCTTCACAATTGTCCCTATCTGGAAGTCCTTCGACTTAATGAAAATCATATTCAAAGGTTCAGAATTTTTTAACATGATACATCTAGAAAAATTAATTTGGTCGGGCTGCAGGATTGAAGGCCTGGATGGTTGTTTTAGGCTCAAAGAACTCTATTTGCATAGCAACCAAATCAGTCAAGTTAGGAACATCTCCCACCTTTCTAGTCTCGAAGTTCTCTGGCTCGCAAACAATCAGATTAAGAAAGTGGAGGGGCTTGAAAATCTTGCGAGACTAAGAGAGCTCAATCTCGCATGCAACACCATAAGTCAGCTTGGAGATATTGTAAATTTGAAACTGCTGGAACATCTTAATATTGCCGCCACTGGGATAGGATCATTTAAGGTTAGTCGTCCAATCAGCATATAAATGTTTACTTAAATCGAAAACAACTGCAGGAGATTGGGAACTTGACAAGGTTAAAGTTTTTAAGGGATTTACGTTTTGCCGACCCGAATTGGGGTAGTAGTCCTATAGCTTTGCTTCATAATTATCAGGTAGATTTATGTTTTGCTTACAATTTTATCGTTATTTACCTGGCTTTTTCGCAGACTTATATCCTCTTCCGTATGCAACAGCTAATTATGCTGGATTCGCAGGATATGGCAGAGGAACTCAAACAGGCTGCGAAAGCTACTTATACCAGGAAGAGAGTCTACTATAATATGTGCATAAAGTCTTTGCAGCACAATAGGGAGAATATTGCATCTCTGTCTGTGAAATGTGAGTCAAGACGTGCAAGAAGTCTTCAAAAGTAAGTAGTTTTCTTGCTACATGACACAAGCTATTGACCTGAAAAGCCAATATTCCTTGTAGAACACTTGCAAAGCTATTTAGAAATCAAAAGGATCTGAGGCAGCAAATGAAGCAGGCACATGAGTTTCAAGAAGCTTTCAGGTCTACTAAGACTTCATTTGTGGGGCTTGAGCAATCCAGAAGACAAGATTGGTGGCATCATTCCAAATCCATGGTTACCACTCTTGAGAATCAAATATCGCATGTAATGGCACGCCTGGATACACTAAGAGAGGACATGCACATTGTCAGAGCCAAGGAAAGAGCTGCTGTAGAGCGCAAAATACACTGGCTCAAGCTGGAGCTTGACACAGGTTTCGGCTGAATTACTTCCCGTTTTCACCCACACTAACGCACTTCTTTTCTTAGGTGGTAACATTCGCATGGAAATAGGGAATCCAAGGGATGTCTGGTTTAAAAACTGCGACAACTTAGTGACCTCAAGATTTTCATTACTGGACTATTCTCCATTCGGTATCACTGGGGTTCGTGTACTGAAAGTCATACGTATACATAATCGCTTCCTCCAAGACCGGTGGGAGAAAAGCTTTGAAGGAAAGGTTCGGTGGGACTGACTTCTTTTCCGTTTTATGGCGTTCACTTCATTATTTCAGGTGGTTAAATCTAGAAAGAAGCATGTTGAGTACCTTCTTTACGGGGAAACGTTGCAATGCGCAGATGAATTTCAGTGCATTGTGGAGGAGGGATTCCCCTACTTGCCTGGACAGTCTAATCATGGCTGCCATGGGCCAGTTTTACTTTCAAATTCTATTGGTTTAGCAGATGTGCGCCGCCTTCAGGTTAATAACTTTATGAATTTTCATCTATTTGACTTGGATTCTGAGCAGGTGATTGCTGAGCAGTTGCAGACAGAGTCCCCTTGGAATATAAAGGCTCCAGGCTGGGTTTTGGTTGTGAAAGCTTACCTTGGTTGCTCGGTCCAGGATCTTACTGGTAACTATTACCCTCAACAAATTGTTCATTAACATGATGAACCAGTTTGTAATGGCAGTCAATTTAGCCTCGCCTGCAGCGAAAAAGTCCACTTATCCGGGAGCTGATTCTGTTTATAGACTTCATCCATCTGACCCCGTACAACGGTCGTGGTTTGTCTTTGAGTCCACCCTTGTAGTGCCTGAATATCTGGTCGAATTTCAGTATACTTACCACAACGAAAACGGAGGAGAAATCACGCAGAGAATATCAGCCAGACAAAAGCGCATGCTTTTCACATCTGAGTGCGAATCAGATAAAGACAGAGGCTCTTGGAAATGTATACCTTTTACTGATCCTATACAAACAGTAGCAGCTAAGGGATCTATAACTGTAAATCATTCTCCACGACATCAACGCAGTCGGAGGATAAAACTTTCTGAAAAATCGATTCTGCTAACAAACGACTTGATTTTGAAAAATCATACTGTTCACGATTTTTCTAAAGTTTTACATCTCAACATTCACAATTACAACATTGACGAGATTGATGCCTTGAAGAGTTTAGTACATCTAAAAGTACTAGAGTTATCGTTCAACAAAATATCCAGAATCAAAGGACTAGAAGGTGTCACGTCATTGGAAAAGCTGGATTTGAGTTTTAATTGTATAAA